GATCCGTCAAATTCGTATTTTGCAAGACAAGTCATATTAGCTTTGGTTTGTGTGTGGTTATAGACCAACCTTCACGATATAATAAAAAAATCCAAAGCATAGTCTCGTGGTACAATATTATATACATTAATTTGTCTAACATTATAATTACACAAAGCTAATATGACTTGTCTTGCAAACACAACTCTTCCAAGTTTTGGAGTTCATTTTACGTTGACAATTAAACCATGAACAAAACAAAAATGCCTAGAACCGAAAACTACTTTGTGTTAGATCCGAGAGAAGCTACCGCCTCGGATCTCATTCGTCTTCTCTTTTCCTCGGATCTTGGGGATAGAAAATTCATCAATTCTTCGGAAGAGAGGCATGAGGATGTTTCTTGTAGATTCCGGCGACGGTGGATCATCTTTGTATCCATCGTTGTTCAGAAACTTATGATTTTTCTTAAAAAACCTCTCTTCTTCTTGGGATTAGCTATTGCTTTTTGGCTCAACCTTTTTTCTTCTAATGGTGGCTTCTTCATGATACTCCCAAATCTTTTAAGAGGTAAGATTTTCTTCTTTAGAACTCATAGGTATAAAATACAATGTGTTTGTACGTTTAATTTTTTTTTATGGACTTATTTGCTAAATTGTAAAAACAAATGTGTGGTTGGAATACAAAAATAAAAATAAAAAATGTATTGATGCATGATATCATGTAAAATAACGTGATATACAAAAATTAACATAATATTTGTAAAAAACCCAAACAAGATCAATGTTACTTAAAACACACATTGTGATGAATGAACTAATTTACCAGACGCCGGTTTTACAAATAAGAATGAGGTATTTGGCTATCTAATCCAAAATGAATATTGAGGGTAATAGTCAAGTAATTGTTGGTGAGTAAGAAGAATTTGTAAACTTACTTAAATGTCAATTAGCTAGTTATACCAATTATTCTTCACAAACGATTATGCCTGACTGAGGTAGTAGCTTACTCCAAAGGGATTTTCTGCTTTATCGTAGGTCACTACAATCAAACGCAATTAGGTCCTGTGACAACAACAACAAAAATGCTGAACTGGTGTAACTATTATTATTAACCTAGGTTTACAAAAAAAAATAAAATATACATTATATATGCAAATGCCATTATTTAGACCCTAAATCCAATATTTTGCTATTTTGTAATTATTTCAGGAAATATTATTTGGCCAGAAAAATCATCGGCAACATTTGCATCGGTAATTGGAAACCTAGACCGGAGATTAGAGTTAGACCGGAGGTTAGAGGGAGGAAGTGAAAGATACAAAGCAATGTTGTCAATTATGGCTTCAAAGCTATCTTACGAGAACATTGACTTTGTCAATTCCGTTCTACACAACCATTGGAAGGTTTTTGACTTTTTTGTTATTTAACTCTTTCCTTTTTTATCAACCATTTTTCTCCTTCACTTATTTTTTCACAACTCTCACTAAAATAAAGAAAACGTGTCGTGTTAATGAACATTATACCATTAAAAAGTGGAATTTTGCGTAATCTTATTGAATACAGATAAGGTCATTTTTCCTACTAAATAAAGATAAGTTAAAAGTAAGTTTTCTGTAAGTAAAATGATTAGCTTTCTCACTTGCTAAATCATGAATGTTCCATACCAAAATGCAGGCTGTCATTTATAGATGTATCTTATACGCATGATCATGCATTTATTTCATTTGATTAAACAAAAAACGAAAGGAATCCTTTATTATTAAAGATTAATTATGTGTTGGACTTTGTAATCACCTATTTTTTAAACTATATTCTGACACAGATGGACTTATTGGGGTTCTACAGCTGTTGGAATGGTGAGACTGGGAGCTTCCCTATTCCATATTTTTTAAATTGTTTTAATTTTGTTGTATTAGTGACAATACAAATTACTAGTCGAAAAAGGCAAATACCTCGAAATAGGATATATTTTATTTTTCCTTGCTTAAAATGACCCAACTAGTATATTGTGCTTGCTTATGGAATGATTTATAATAAACTCATAGACTCATAGTAATAACCATGTTGTCAAATATCAAAAAGTATATTAATATGGGTAAAATATAGTAATTGACTTCCAAGAAAATATTTAGCTCAATGTCTACATTGTCTTTCATTGTTTTTTCAAATGTGACATGAAAAAGGTTTTGACAGAGCGCTAGTTTTTTCCTTGGTGTTTCTCAGGTTACCAAAAACATAAGTCCACCGAAGTGATTGTTATAAAGGACACAAGCACAAATCCGAACCTCATTGTCGTTAGTTTTCGAGGTACCGATCCTTTCGACGCCGATGATTGGTGTACCGACTTGGATCTCTCATGGTAATTGTTTATTTCTGTACACTAATCCTCATTAACTTGTTACGGTTTAGGTTCATTGGTTGGTACGTTCCCTTGATCAAACAATGTTGGTTTTTAAAACAGGTACGAGGTTAAGAAAGTAGGAAAGATCCACGGTGGATTCATGAAAGCTCTAGGTCTTCAAAAAGAAGGATGGCCTAAAGAAGTAAACGTAGAGCAAACCCAAGATCAAGAAACAACTCAATATGCATACTACACTATTAGGCGTTGCTTGAAAGATATTATCGAACAAAACCCGACTTCGAAGTTTATCCTGACCGGACATAGCCTAGGTGGAGCCTTAGCGATCTTATTCACGGCCTTGTTGGTGATGCATGACGAGGAGAAAATGTTGGAGAGGCTCGAAGGAGTTTACACATTTGGGCAACCACGCGTAGGAGACGAGGAGTTTGGGAATTTCATGAAAGATGCGTTGGAGAAATTCGATGTGAATTACAAAAGATATGTTTATTGCAATGACATGGTTCCTAGGTTGCCTTTTGACGACAAAACACTAATGTTCAAACATTTTGGACCATGCCTTTACTTTGATAGTTTCTACAGAGGAAAGGTTAGTTATAAACTACAACTTTATGACGTGTCTTTAAATTCTTTGAATTATTGTCACTTATGATTGGCAATGCACAAATTTTTTACCTTGCGATCCTAAAGTTCTGTCTCATGGGGACAAAACTTTAGATCCCATTTGGAAACGCGGCATGAACCCAAATTGGAGAAACAATATTTTCTCTACTTTTACTAATGTTATAGTGCTCGTATATATAATTTTGTCGTAAATTGGAGAAACAATTTGTGTCTCATTTATGCGAAATGCCATTGTGAATCACTTCTCTTACTGATGATATCTATTGTATTGTTATTTATGTTTAGGTAGAGGAAGAGGAGCCAAATAAGAACTACTTCAATATTTTATGGGCTATACCAAAGATTATGAACGCAATGTGGGAGCTGATAAGGAGTTTCATCATACCGTATTGGATAGGTGAGGAGTACAAAGAAGGATGGTTCTTGAGGTGTTTTCGGGTTGTCGGGTTATTGATTCCGGGATTATCTGCTCACGTTCCTAATGATTATGTCAATGTTACTCGATTGGGAGAGTTACCTCTATACTTTGGTGACTAGATTTTAATTGATCGCGATATCTCCAAATTCTTCTCATATGTTACCGACGAAAATTATTAAAATGTATCCATGTTAACTATGTCAACATCCAGAATTTTGGTTCTTCAATGTTCTACGTACGTATATTACCACCTAGATACAACCATTCATAGTCCAATTTCCATCTCCATGATTCCTTAAATCATAGTATACTTTACGATAGCAATTTACAGTCTTGATTTTGATTGTGAATCAAGACTAACATAATGTTTTGTACAGAAACTTACACAAAATGGAGCTCACAATAATCAAAATTGTGTTATAAATATAAAAATAAATAGGAAAGCGAGATTCTATGTTGATTAAAATCGATAAAAATTAATAGGTCGGTTCATCCTTAGAACTTTTCAGATATGGGTAGTGGTAATCTACTTGCTCTCACTTCACCACAGATCCGAGACAAACCGAGGTCACACAGACTTAATGCGCGTCGATAGCTTCGAGGATCTCGACGATTGAATCTCTAGGTTTCAGCGGCCTCTCTAGTAAAAGAGCGTGACTGGAGAACGGAGCAATGGAAGACGGCGAAATAGAGGAAGGAATGATGACGGCGGAGGAACTTCCGAGGTCGGAGATAGCGACGGAGACTATCGCACCGCCGCGTAAGGCGGAGAAATCTCCACTCGAGTTACTTCGAGAGAGCAAAACCTCCGTGGAAGAAATCGTCGCGAGGATGCTCTCCATCAAAAAAGAAGGAAACCATAAATCCGAGATTCGAGAACTCCTCACACAGATGTTCCTCAACTTCGTTAATCTTCGTCAGGTAATTCCTTCTACAATCAAAATCATCTCTAGGGTTCTTCAATCTCTTCCTATAACGAATCTTAGGGTTTTGTTCCGTTCTCCTCTTTTGGGCAGGCGAATCGTTCGATTCTCACGGAGGAAGACAAAGTGAAGGCGGAGACGGAACGAGCAAAGGCTCCAGTCGATTTCACGACATTGCAATTACACAATCTCATGTACGAGAAGAGCCATTACGTTAAAGCTATAAAAGCTTGTAGAGATTTCAAGTCTAAGTATCCAGACATTGATCTCGTATCGGAAGAAGATTTCTTCAAGGATGCTCCTGAAGCTATCAAGGATCAGTCTCTCTCAAGTGATAGCTCTCATGTTCTAATGCCAAAGAGGCTCAATTTTGAGCTTCATCAGGTACTGAATTTCTCATTAGAAGGTGGTGAAGTCAAGTTCCTTTGTAGATTTGGTAGAAATGATTAGAACTTTGTATATGTTCTTTGTATTCAGCGGAAAGAATTGTGTAAGCATCGAGCAAGATTGGAACAACAGAAGAAGAGTTTACTAGAAACCATTGCAGAGCGTAAGAAGTTTTTGTCAAGTCTTCCTCTACACCTCAAGAGTCTAAAGAAAGCATCGCTTCCGGTGCAGAACCAGTTGGGTATGCAGCACACAAAGAAACTGAAACAGCATAATCTAGCTGAGCTGCTTCCYCCTCCTCTTTATGTAATATACTCACAGCTCTTGGCACAAAAGGAAGCTTTTGACGAGAGCATTGATTTGGAGGTAGTTGGGAGCCTTAAGGATGCTCAAGCCTATGCTCGACAACAATCAAAAAAGGATTCGGGTAAGTTGTTGTAAAGACTTTACTGTCTTTCTGACACTGAAGCGGAAGGGATGCTAATTTGGTATTAGTTTTTCAGGTGTGTCTAGTCATACAGAGAGTTCTAGGTTGGAGGATGATGGACCTGATGATGATGACGATGGACAAAGGAGAAGAAAGCGGCCGAAGAAACTTACTAGCAAAGAAGGTTCTGACAAGGCAGGATTATATCAAGTCCACCCTCTCAAAATTGTCCTTCACATATATGATGATGAGATTCCCGAGACGAAATCGCTTAAACTTGTCATTCTCAAGTTTGAGTACTTGCTGAAGTTGAATGTTGTATGTGTTGGCGCTGAAGGCTCTCAAGATGGACCTGAGGAAAATATCTTTTGTAACTTATTCCCAGATGACGCTGGACTTGAGCCTCCTCAACAGGTATACTTGTTTTTCTTCGTGTTTGTGTTTCAGTTTTCTTACATGTGACCTTTGATGACTTTACTTTTAAAAATTCATACTCACTTCTCTCAGTATGGCTGGTCTCCCTTGCAGTCGACCAAACTCATCCTTGGTGATGGTCAGGCATTTGATGAGACCCGAACTTCAAGGCCTTATAAATGGGTACAACATTTGGCTGCGATTGATATTTTACCAGAAGTGTCACCGATTTTATTTGGCCAAGATACTAATAATATTGAGTCAGCTAAAAGTGATGCATTTGTGCCTGACCTCTCATTGTATCGCCAGCAACATAGGGTGAAAACAATTCTGCAAAGAATACGCTCGCGGAAAAAAGCGCATCTCGCTCTTGCGTGAGTCACCACTCTGTATGTTTTCCATCTTGATTAAAGAACGCTATGCACAGGATTTCAGAATATTTGTAGACCACCACAATAATCCGAAGTGCCAGCAGCATATGCTTGGTACATTTAATAGTTTGGATATTTAAGTAACTTGGCGGTCAACATTTTACCCCTTTGCATGTCAACTTAGTGCTAGAGCTTTCATGAGTAATCATTTCTGTGGATATGTTTTTTGTTTCCTTTTTTTCTTAATACAATGGAAATTTTTGCTGGCTTTACAGGGAGCAGCTTGATTTGCTTAAGAAGCACGAGTTGCCTGTGGTGAACTGTGCAGACGCTCCTTGGGCATTGCATAAGGTTCTCTGTGCTTTGGATTCCTGGTTACTTATACGATCTTCAGCTAGTAAGTCGTGCTCTCTGACTCCAAATAGTGTGGAACAAGTTCCAGAACCTATGGAAATCGATGTGGATGGAAGATCTATTTTGGGAAAGGAAGATCTTGAAGGTATACGTGAAGATGGAGAGCTTCCTTCTTTGGTCACAGCTGCAGCTTCGATAAACAGTTCCAGTAATACCCCATCAAAAGCATTTAATCTAGCCCGGTCCAGGCAGTTGGCTTTGATGACAAAGAACCTAGATTCTCCAATTAGCAAAGCAAAGTCACTGAGTTTCAAGAAATACGAAGATGATTTGGATCTTGTTTTGGATGATGATAGTGAAGTAGATGAGCCAGCAGGAACAACCGAGGCGCATGTGGAAGCATTATGCCCGGAGAAAGCTGATGATTCATGGGTGGATTATGGTGCGAAAGAGTTTGCGCTTGTGTTCTCCAGGAAAACAGATGGTGGAATGGTGTGGAAGTTAGAAGCTACGGTAACTTCTAAAAACGCTAGCGTCTTCCCTATATCCTTTTTCATTTCTAAGTGTTAAATCGAGTTGTATTGTGGCAGGTCAAAATTAGCACGGAGTATCCTCTTCGACCCCCTATGTTTTCTCTGTCTCTCCATGCTTCTTCTTCTTCCGGAAATGACGACAGGACAAATGAAAGTGACCATTACAATGAACTACGAGCTATGGAAGCAGAGGTAAGTGTTATTAACCCATTAACCATTACCGATCTTTACTCGATGACACGAATAGTATAGTACACTTTCTTTGCGGTATCAGGTGAACCTTCATATGTTGAAGATTGTACCTCTGCATCAAGAAAAATATCTCCTATCTCATCAAATCAGATGCTTGGCAATGTTGTTCGACTATTACATGGACGACCCATCTCCAGATTCCAAAAGAGGAACATCCACAAGTGTGGTTGATGTCGGTTTGTGCAAGCCTGTAGACGGTAAGATTCTTGTGAGATCATTTAGAGGCAGAGATCACCGGAAAATGATCTCATGGAAAGATAGAGGATGCGCTTCAGGTTATCCATGCTAGACATTACAACATCATCACTCACTTCTCTATATAATCAGCTTTTCTAGATAACAATTTTTGCATTGTCCGTCCCGCTTTATGTTGTTTTACCGCTTTGGTATTGTGAACAAGTTTTCTTTTTAATCTTATAGACCGTTACTGACACTGGCATCTCATTACGCTTTTATTTGTTAAGTGGTCGTTTTGATGGTAATCGGCTTCGAAGTGCGAGACACAATGTCAAGAGGAAATCATATGTGACATCATCTATAAGTCTTTCGCTACCTGATGATAGCAATAATAAATCACAACATTACAACTTAAACTGCCATCCACCTAATTAACCTTTTGATTTTAGTATTATATTCTGCTTTTAAAATTTTGAATCAAATATTTAATCTTTTGCCTGCACTTAAAATAACTTTTTGATTTTGAACTATACCAATCCTATTATTAGGGACATTCACCAAATGAGAAGAGGAATAGAATGTCACACTGACTAACAAATAGCTAATTTGGTTACAAATATGAATAACACATTGGCTTATGATCTTCCAACTTCGCTTTCATCGATTCACTTGATGTCCGATTGCGTTCTCCTCAGCTTTCTCTCGGGTCGTCCTTGAAGGTTAATCATCCCCTTGATATGTTATTTAGATACAGAAAGTTAGCACAAAAATTTAATAAAAACACACAGTCAAATGTGGCTAATCTTTCAGTTAAACATAAGTTTCATAGCTGATTTGGCATGTGTTTATTCAAGATTATACATACTAAGCAGAAAAATGAAAGAGTGTAAACTGAATAGATTACCGGTGTGGTTTGCATGTTCGACATCTCTGCCTGTCGAACAAGAAAAAAAAACATCGTGAGATAGTATTTGCGAAGCAAATTTTGTCCATGTGTGATGAATTACAACGTCGTTGGTTACCTGTTTACTTAGTAGTTCTTGATTCTCTTTCTTTAACTTTTCAACTTCAGCCTTAAGCTCCATAGTATGAGCCTATTAAGTGCAAAATAAACAAAAGCAAAAATTAAAAGTTTGGTGTCTATACACAATCAATCAAGAGATGTATTTGACCTCCTTCCGAGCCCGTGATCTCGCTGCTGATTCTCGGTTCTTTATCTTTCTCCTTTGTATTTTGTCATCGACTTTCTTCTCCATTGCGATCGCATTATTCCTCTTCCTATCTCTCACAATATTACCACCGTTAAAAATGTATGTAGATGGTGAGATTAATGAAGAATCACTATTATTCTTCCTTATTCCATCTAGTAATGGAAATGCTGCAACGGTTGGGACGAAATTTATGTTTTTTCCTTGAAGACTTTGTTCTCCATTTCCCATGAAACCATGAGTATTAACCTGACCACTTAAGAATCCGATTTGTGGTCCATAACCATAAGTACCATGTGGTTTAGTCATGATAGGTTGTTGCGGTTGGCATGTTGACGTAAAACCATTCACATTTCGATGCAAATTTGAGCCATGAAGCTGAAACCCAACACCTAAACTTGAGTTCATGTCTCTATCACTTTCTCGCGTCGGATCACTCCCAAAAGTCTTGAATTTCCAGTAACTATCCATTTCCGCAGTAATTTTGCCTGACACAAATCCGAGTATAGTGTTAAATAGAGTTTTAGAATCATACTACAACCATAAAATGTTTATATGACCATAGAAAACAGAGGTTTAACCTCGAAATGTAACAGCTTTCAAGTAAAAATCATTCAATCATACAAAACTCTAATTTGAAAAAAATCAGAGAAACTGAAACATGTTTTAATACAGAGGAAGAAATAAATAAGATGAGCCAAATTTATGCAAAAAAAAAAAAATCATTTTTTCCCATAACATTTAGTAAACCAAAAGGGTAATATGCATTTATGATAAAACTATGGTAAGTGATAAAATTAAGGTAAGTGAGCACATTAGGC